GTGTCCATTATTAGAAAATTGTTTAAAGAATTACTTTATTAATTTTATGTATTTATTTAATTTGGCCAGAGAGGAAGAGAGAGAGTGAGGGAGGGAGGGAGGGAGGAAGAGGGAGAGAGAAAGAGAAGGAGAGGGGGGGAGTGGGGAGAGGGGGGAGAGAGAGACAGAGAGAGGGAGGGAGGGAGGGAGGGAGGAAGCCACCAGGTCCAGGACTCAGTTTACCATGTGGGAGTCCAGCACCCTTAACCACCATGCCACCTGCCGGCCCCCATTATTATTAATTTTTTCAAATCTTTCTCTGTAGTCCGAAAAGGAGAATTGAGAAGTTGCTAAGATTACAATCTACCTACAACCGTTAGTACCCGACTGTTCATTGAGGGTTTTTCTATCCTTCCCATCACTTAATCCTCCCCACATCCTCATTTTAAAGACCAGGACACCGCTGCTCAGAGCGCTAAGGTCCCCAAGCTGCACAGCTGGGCTGTAAGGTGCAAACACAGATCTCCTAACTCTCAAGTTCTCCATGTGTGCACTGTACCACGATGAGTCAATGCTGAGTTCCAGACAGTGAGTGCAGCTATGCCAAAAGCCACCCTGGCCAAGGAACTGGCCCCTCCCGGGCCTGGCGGCCTGGCGGAGTGCTAACCAGCCAGCCGCACATCCTAGCAGCTCTCCCTACAGAGCCGGCTGGAAGGCTGCTGCGTGCAGGGCAACGGGAGGCAGGGCTGAGCAGCTCCACACGAGCAGCGGCCATGCCAGGGATTTAGTCAACAGAGAGCTAATATGAGTCAACAGCGAGTGCCACTGCCAAACACACTAATGGGATCTTCAGCTGCATTAATAGAAGGAGGGTGTCTCGGGTAGGCTGGGGAGGGAGCCCTCAGGTATGGGCTGGGCTGGGCTGGGCAGGGCCAGGCAGGGCAGGGCCGGGCCGGGCTAAGGAGAGGGAAGCTCCGTCAAGGCAAGGCAGGTTTCTTGGACAGGAGTGGCTCAGGGTGGGCAGCATTCTGGCTGGTAGGTGAGCCAGGGAATCACTAGAAGCTGAGTTTGTCTGGTAAGCCCACCACAGACTGAATGTTACAGAGAGCTTTTTATTTATTTACTTACTTACTTTTGCCAGAAGGTGAGTACGCTTTAGAGAAGGGAGAGAGAAGGGCAGAAAGCACCCACAATGGGGCATGCTGCAATCTTTCTCCTCCATTTCTCACTCCCATGAGGATTTTGAGCACGCATGTACACACACCTGGAATGTTTCTCAAGCCGCTGGTCGGGGTCTCAAACCACATGGTTGGCCACGTGGGATCCAGCTCCCTTAACCACTAGGCTATGAATCTAATCCTGGATGACATTATTATTATTATTATTATTATTTAATTTGCTATAGGGCACATGCACTCGCCAGAGAGAGTGAGAAAGCATCTGCGGGTTGGGGGTGGGGGAGATTGGCCTCACAGTAATCCCTTCTCTTCCATTCTCCTCTTAGGATTCTGGGCATGTGTGCATATGCACCCAGAGTGTTTTCAAGTCACCTACTCTGGGACTTGAACTGCACAGTTGGCCATGTGGGATCCTGCCAACTTAACCATCAGGCTGCTGAACGACTTTCTTTATTTTTATTTATTTATTTTTTTGAAGAGGTTTTTGGTATAGGCTGCATGGCTCCTAAGAGAGGAGAGAGAGAGAAAGTGAGAAATCACCCCCTCCCCCGGAGGGATGACCACATCACAATCCCTTCTCCTCCCTTCTCCCCACAGGATTGGAAACACATGCCCGGCATGAGTTTAAGCTACCAGGTCCGAGACTCAAACTATGGTTAACTACGTGGGAGTCCAGCAACACAACCATTATGCCATCTGCTGGTCCTAATGCTGGATGGCTTTTAAAAAGATCCTTTAATTCGCATTTTATCAAAGATTGAAACCATTGACTATCCACAACAAAGGTTAAGAACACCCAGAGCTGCCAGGCAGCTCAATCTGTTCCCAAAGAGACTCCAAGCCCTGTTGATGGAGAACCAGTGGGACAGACAGCTATAGGTGCTTTTTAAATTATTATTACATTTAACAGTTAGACCATGGCTTTGCCAAGTGACACCGTGTAAGAAATGCTAGATGTGTGATCCTATAATCTCACTGTCAATGTCTCCAGGAAGCCCTCCTGATTCCTTCACCCCATCAGTTCCCAGAACCCCATCCAGCTATGTCTGAGACCTAGTACAACAGAATTTAAAAAAATAAAAATAAAGGGAGGTTAGGGTTTCTAACTGTGTGTTCCAGGAGCCTCCAGGCCATGTCTCATGCACCTGTGTGCCCACAGCACTCAGCACACGCAAACACCCTAATGTGTGCACTGTCCTGGGGTGAAGGGCCAAGGTAGTCACTGCAGGTGTTACTTGGTTAGAGGCCATCTCTGAACACGAGTGTCCTGACTAGGACTAATAAAAAGTTTATGACAACATGTAACCACTTCTAGGACTAGGATTCTTTCTTTGCTCCACCTACTAAAATCCATGGGGAGGGGGGCTTATTTACAAAGGAGTCCCAGTTAGCCTGGCAACATTCCTAGGTGCCTTTGGAAGTGAATAGAGACCCAGAATCCAGAGAAAGCCATCCCGGTCAAAGGTATCTCCTATCCACGCAACAAACAGCAAGGCAACACCAGAGCCCAGGAAGGACTAAAAGTCCAGGAAACAGAAGAGAATCATGACAGGCGGGGCCAAATGCCTAAAAGGACTGCATGAACAGCGAGGCTGGTGCAGAGGGTCTGAGAAATGGCACAAATGCTCCCAATTCATCAAGGAGCTGGCTGCCTGGCGCTCACCTCCTAACTCCGAGAATCAATTACAGGAACTCACGCTCCGACCTGGGAAGATTAGTGGAGGAGACTGTGCAATGCAGTCCTAATACCTAATAAATCTTTAGATCGATGAGCCGTGCTGACTGGTGATTTTTCTTCATCTTTCTTCCCTAAGAGCTCAAATGACAAAAGCCAGCATTTGCTTTTTTATTTGCCTTTGGACAGGGAGTATATACGTGTGTGTCTGAGTATAAATAAAGTTTGAGATTCAGTAAATCATCTTCCAGCACTGAGAATTCTGCCATCATGAGAACCTGGGGTGGGTGAATTGTTTGGTCCAGTGGCCTTTTATAAAGTGAAGAAACCTTTCAGGATGCAAATGTGCCCTTCCCCCACGCTCAGAGGCTCCACTGGCTTTAATAAGTCAGCATTCCCACCTGACCTGCGTTTGTGTACCTGTCTGAGTCTATTCACCAAGCAAGCACTTCACTCGGCTGGCGTTTTTCATCCCAGAAACGCCACGGAAGCCTGCCGCACAAGCCTGACAGAAGCAATACATTTAATAAACGAGTCATCTCAGGGGAACGGACAAGAAAACCACCAGCAAGGAGCACTGTCAAAGTTCTCAAGGATACATTCCTTTCCCACATCTGAGATGCAAACTACGCCACGTCCTTTGCAAACAGAAGCTGCCCACTCCAGAGGTGGCCTGCTCACCTCCCTCTCACCTCCCTCTCCTCCCAGTTCTCAGGCCTCCTCTCCCAGTAGAATAAGAGCTGGAGAGCCTTGTTCTTGGGGAGCAGTAACAGTTTAAAGCTATCTTAAAGACAACAGCACTATGCACCGGAATGTTGGCTCCTATTCCAAGAATAAAAAGGCCCCAAAAGGGCATTTTCATAACCAAATGATATCCTATAGAGAGCACAAGGAACCACAAAAACAAAACTGGCACAAATGAAACTGTCTCAGAATTAAACCTACACAGGGATGCAGCAAAACCCAGGCCAGGCAGGCTGTGACGTCCTTGAGACCCCAACATGTGCCTAGTTGGTTCATGGAGCCCAAATAATTCCATCCGGGAAGGCCTAAATGCCTCCTCTAGAAGTCCAGGTAATATTGTTTTCTTTCCTCGAACCCCTCGGGTTGGTCTGTACTATTCATCTAAAAGCTCAGCCACTGCTGTGTCCTCAGTCACACCCAAAGATCCCCGAAGGGATCGTCTGCCGCAGCGCCGAGTGCACACGGGGCGCCCCGTTAATGTGTGGGTCTGATCTGATCTGATCTAGCCCCTTCGGCCAGGAAGGTTCCTCGGCGGCTGGCCGCTCTGCTGGGGACAGCAGCGCCAGCCTAGCTCTCTGCTGGAGCAAGGCGGGGGTGCAACCACCTGTGGGCGGGTGGCCCGTACGCAGGCCCAGGCGCCGCCGCCCTGGGGGGCCCGGGCCCCAAGCACGTTGCCAGGGGGAGAAAGTCCGGCGCCCAGGCCCTGCGGGCGCCCCAAGGCCGACACCCCGTGCCCTGGCAAGGGCTCCGCTGGCGCAAAGTTGGCCAGGTCCGAGAGAGCCGGTTCTAGAGTTAGCTCCCAAGTCGCCCAACACCTGCGAGGCTGCGGGCCAGGAGGGGCTCTTTGGGAAGCACCCAGAGGGGATCGGCAAAGAGCAAAAATGATCCTCGGACCCCCCCTCTCAAACTTGGGGCACCTGCTGGGTAGCAGGCGAGGGGCTTCTCCCGGTTCTCTCATCCAGACCTCAAGGCGAATTTAGCGAGAGGGGGCAAGCAGAACACCCCGGGGGCAGCGCCATACCGCTTTGGGATTTTCTACCCAAGAACCCAGCATCAGGAAGGCCCTCTCTGGAATGTGGGGACGAAGGGGGAACACCGGACAGGAGCACTGACCGGGGGCGGGGACTCGGTACCTGGGGTCTGTGCGCGCTGGGGAGGAGGTGACGCCCAAAGGATTAGGTGGGCGCCGGGGAAGGCGCAACTCTGCGGCGCAATGTGCCAAGCAGGAGGCACCGGCGAAAGAAGGGGCCCCGGAAGAGACCGAGACTGGTGGCCCCGTTGGGAACAGGATTAAGGAGTCCTCTCCAGTGAGAAGGGGGAGGGGATCCCCAGAGAGCTGCGAGGGGAACGCTACAGAAGGGAACTCGGACGGAGGAGTTGCCCCCCAGGGGCGCGAGTATTAGTGCCCCGGCCCCGACACTCACCGGCAGATCCACGCTCACTTCGGTCCCGTCGAGCAGGAAGACGCGGCAGTACAGGGTGGCCTTGGCGGCGCCGGCGGCGGAGATGTGCACGGCCGCGCCGCC